TCTGTATTTCTCTTTGATAGTTCTGTAAGAAAACAAATTGAAGGCCATAAAATTATGGTCTGTTTGAGCAATAATGATTTTATAGAGAGCATTTTACGTTTAAGTTCATACATTTTGAGGGGTGGTGGATAAAATAGGGATGATGATATGCTAAGACAAAATTTGTCATGTGTGTTACACTACTGGAAATTCAGGATTTTTTTATATATATTTCCTTTTAGAATTAAGAACTTAAAACTTGTATATTATTAAAATATGGATTATTATCTAAGATTTTATGCTATTCTAATTGGTATAACATAAACAAAAAGTAGTTTAATACAATTTTGAATGTAAGACACTAAAACCTTGTGTCATGTGCAGTAAAGGGTACCCGTGCAGATAGGATTAAAAGTTGATATGGCCCCATATCTTCAATAAAGTTGATGCATGTGTTGCCTTATGGTGCCCCATTTCCTCTTGCATAGATTCTGAGAGATTGTCTGGGTATTTGTCCACTAATTTTGCACATGCAAGTTTGAGTTCCTCTTTTGTCATGCTTCGATATTGCCATAGAACGCAGAAGAATCTATTAATTGTGTTTGCAGCGTCAAACCGCTTCGACACTCTGTCAGTCACCGAATCAATGACAACAAAGAAGACATTCCGTTTGAATTCAGATTCAAGCTCATCAGAGCCATCACAAGGATTTTCTAGGACGTTCTCCCCTTGTTCATCATCCTCCTCAATAACAATAAGTCTTGCTCTTTTTTTAACTTTCCGTTTAGATGGGAGATGGGGTTCAATTTCGATTTCCTCAGCAACCAGTTTCGCTTCATTTAAAATCTGTGGCCATTTCCCACGTAGATCTTCAAGATCAATCAAGAGCGACTCTAGATTTGAGACCCCTACATCCATTGTAGCATCTCTTGCCTGGATGATCTGATTTCTCCTGTCGATCTCTACGAGAATCTTCAGCCACATCGATGACATAAGGATGCAAATGAAGGATGACACGTATTTGATTACACCATTGACTTCATCAATGGTTTTTGGCGTGAGGTTGAGAGACAGAAGTTTCTTTAGCACGAGTCGTATTTCAGCAAGATGAGCTTCAAATGGTTTCACACTTGTCACTCGGTCTGTCCAACGAGTACCTGACAAAGCGTAGATGGATTCGCCCACTTACTCCTTGAGAATAGCCCAGCACTGAGGACTGGAAGAAAACAAATTATAAACTGTTTGCATTACTCCAAAAAAATGTAACTGCCTCCATGCAACATGATGCAGAATCTAATCCACATAAGTTTAGTGAATGGCAGGCACATGGAGAATAAATGCACAGTGGATTAACAGCAAGTATGTGCTGTTGGGTACCATTGTATTTGCCAGACATGTTGGGAGCGTTATCATAACCCTGTTCACGACAATGTTTTATAGGTATCACAAAATGCTTGAGTGTTCCCATAATCAGGCTTGCTAAGTCAGCCCCCGTCTTCTTACAACAATCAACAAAGGTTAAAAATCGTTCTTTAAGTTCAAATTCGGTATCATCCTTGGCCAAATAACGAATGATGAACGTTGTCTGCTCCACATGGCTAGAATCCGGTGTTGCATCAACCATGACTGAATAATATTTTGCGGCTCTTATTTCATCCAAAATGTGACTCCGAACATAATATGTGCAGTTACTAATGAATTCAACTTGAGATGATCCTGAGATATAGTGAACTTGAAGCCGTTCACCTTTTTCTTGCGAAGCTCGTACCTTTGCAACATGTTCAGCAAGAATTGGATCGTAATTGGCCAGGAGTTCAATGATCCCCAAGAAGTGCCCATTATGAATGTCGTCAATTCGCTGGGATGAGCTACGGAAAGCAAGTCCTCTTTGGCTAAGAAAAATTACAACATCAATTATCCTCGTTAGTATATTTCGCCATTTCTCAGTCTCGCTCATGATTACTTTGTGAGACATCACATCATTCCCAGTATCAGTTTCCAACCTCCTCTCCAACTCACGCCATGCTAGATATTGCTCTTGTGTGCTGTACTGTTTTCATGTTGAGGCAACCTGTCAAACAGCTTTTTCCATTTCTGTTCTGTACCCCAGCCTTGTTTGGATGCAATGAACGACTGTGATCTTTGCAGTTGTGAGCCCACTGTATGAGAGAAAATCTTACAAGGCAGGCAATACAAGGACTGTTTTCCAAGACTGAATACAAGCCATCGTCTGCTCTCGCTTTCGCCATTTGGTGTTCTGACTTTGAGAACAGACATTGGAAATTTTCGTCCGGTAAAATCATTAGGGAAATATTTTGGGTGTGGCAGAGGCCCTTTCCGAATCATGTCTTCTATATATTTTTTAGTTGAGGTGTCGATGGGCAAAGTCCAATATCAACTCCATATGTTTTAGGCTTGCTTTCTGTTGAATGCTGGCTCTTGTGGCCTTCTTGGGCCGTCCCTGCACATGTTTCTGTCTGTGTTTCTGGGCTTTTTGGCCTATCTGGCACTTCATGTTAATCTTCTATATCAAGCCTACTGTTATGATCATAATCTCCAGCGGTGTTGGTATTAACTGAGCCTGTTGAGGTAGGCCTATGTACTGGATCTGTATGCTTCTGATCGTGCTGGAAGCCAACCTCAAATAACGTTCGACAATCCCCGATCACTTCCTTCTCCCTTTCTTGTCGAGCCTCCCGTCCACGCCTCTTTTGTGCGCTGGTAAGATGACATGACGGAAATTCTGGAAGAAATGAAAACAAAAATTAACATTTAAGACAAAAACCCACCTAATATTTCAGTGGGTTTTTGGTTGGATTTCTGGACAAAATTTTTGGGACAAAAAAGCTCCACATTTTTTAATTTTTACTCCTCCTGTTCATGACTTCTGACTACCTGTGAGAGTGCTTTGTTAGTATATAGATTATAGGTACTTGTGTATTTTTTCTTTTAATGCACAAAACATTAGCTATTACACTGCTAAAGCATTTATTATAACTTAATAACACACGTATCTATTCTAAGGACGTATAAAGCAAATAAAATAACATGTTATGCAAAAAATGAATACTTGGGTTTTTGGGTGCTAATCCTGATTTTTATCAGGTATAAACTTTTATAGTAATTTAATATTTCATCATTAAAAAATTATAAATCACCAGGAATTATTTTTTATGAAACCAGTACAAGAAAATTGAGCTATTTTCAAAAATGTTTTCACTGCAATCCCTAGATGGCATTAACGTTCAGACTACAGTGAAGT